ATCATAAAATGCTATGGGAAGGGAGAGAAAAGGTCCGAGACGTATGAAGTGGTGAAGGAATAAGTAAGGTGAGCAGTGTGGAGTGTGGGAACTGGAAACCGTTTGTAGCAGTTAAATTAATGTATATGCAATGCTGAAATGCTATGAGAAGGGATGGAAGCATCCCCACGACATAGAAAATGGTGGAAGAAGTAGTAAAGGCTAGCAGTGCGGAGTGGGGAATGTTTGTAGCAATTAGATTAACGTATCTAAAATACTATATTGCTATGGAATGTGATGAAAACAGGTCCACGACGTAGAAAAAGGCTTAGAAAGTAGTTAAGTATGAGCATAGTGTGAAAACCGTATGTGGCAGTTAGATTGATGTATCTTTAACCCAAAAATGCTATGAGAAGGGAAGGAAACAAGTCTATGACGTAGGAAATGGTGAAGGAAGTGGTAAGGCTTGCAGTGCAGAGTTTGGGAACTGTCTTTGTAGGGGATGGTGAAGGAAGTAGTAAAGGTGAGCGTGTTGAGTGTGGGAATGGATTAATGTATCTGCAAAGCTAAAACGCTTTAGGAAGAGACTGTAGACTGTAGGTTAAAATAATTTCGAAGCACGAACCGATACATATTTCGATACATGCAATCGTTTATAATATAAATTTACAACTGAGTTGACAATAGCTGATTTTTACTCCATAGAGGATAAAAACCTTTTTTACTTCCTAAAGAGTAAAATTGCTACTTTAGACCCGCAACGCATGCAATTAAAACGACTGGTATTACTGCAGTATGACCAAAACAATATAACATAAACCCTTGATGACTCCGCTCAATTTTGTGGATGCCTCTGCGAACGCCACCTAGTTAGTATTAGCATGTAAAAACCCCCTTGCGTTCAAGGCGCAAACTAGTTTTATACTTCTCCTTCGTAAGTCTATTTTATCTTTTGGGTTGCTAAAATATTGACCGATAAATTTGTCAAATTGTTTGATATTTCTAAAATGTTAACTGTGAATCGAAGCCAGCCTAAAAGTTATGAGGACTAGTGCTGCGATCCATCCAAACTAGGTAATTAATCTTCATTGTGGTCGTACCATGTTTTTCATTAATTTTCAGATAGAGTTTAAGGTCATTGAGGTAATTGTGAATTATAACCATAGGGAGTTTAGTGGTTGTTGTGTTTCTCTAAGAATCTGAAAGTCACCAGTTCTATCCTGACAAAGTTAAGAAGTAGTTATTTTTAGTTTAAAATTGGACCCAACTGACCTTGATAACTGAGTTTTAAACTTTTAATAAATGGTTCTGGCTAAAGAGATATCTAAAAATAAGTCACAAACAAACACGAGGCATCTCATTCACCCCACACTCAATTTCCATTCATTGGGTAATAGGTTTCGGTGGCGTCCTGATCCATAGTAAAAGCAGCAATAACTGTGTTATTGTTATACCACTTTCCAACAAACAACTTAAGCTATGAACACAATGCTCTAGTGTACTTGAACATAATGGTAAAGCCATTGCTTTGATTTCTGTGAACAATGCAACTAAACAAGTTAGGGTCGTTGCTCCTAACGCCCCTCGACAAGTCAATTTTAGACAAACAATAAATTGTGGCTTTGTACTTCAAAATTAAATATATATTTTAGTACAAATAATATTGTTTATAATTTTTCAAAATAGAGACCAAATAATGCTTTTAAACCTTAAAATGTCCAACAATACCACACGGTTTGTCTAATCTTGTGTCATAAATAAAGAAGAAAACTCATTTTATGAAACTGAGTATCAAACAATAAATGTGTGAAAATATCACTAATTGGGTAAAACAATCAGCTGTTTTAATTGTTAGTTACCATATGAGCGCAAATACGGGTCGTCCCAAAAAACAGGGACAATTTTAATACTTTATCACTCAGCTGTTATAACAGCTAGAGAGTTTGTTGTTGTGGCAAATGAATGTTTATGTTATGCCATTTGGTGTATCGTTACTATGGATCATCAATGGTTGCCGCAACATCGTGCCTTTGTCATAGAGACTTTATTCAAGAGTAATGTGTCTATCATTTCTACTCAACGTCAGTTTTGTGTTCACTTCAATGTTGGCCGTAATGGTGCAACCCCAAACCGAAAAAAACTACTCAAAGATGGGTAAGCTATGTCCTGAACACGACTTTTGTACTCAAAAATAAGCCTTTGCAAATTTAAATTTAAATGCAATTTTCTTCAAACGGATGGCTTAGGACGCTCGAGGCTTAGGACACGCAGCATACTCGCGCGAACCATTTCAATATTTTCCGGCGTTCGAACAGTCCGAGGTCTCCCACTAGGTTTGATTTTGAGTGCAGAAGCCGTGTTCTGGAAATTACTTACCCAACTTTGAATAGTTTTTCGGTATGTGGTTGCACCATTACGGCCAACGTTGAAGTGAACACGAAATTGGCGTTGAGTAAAAATGATAGACAAATTATTCTTCAAAAATGTCTCTAGGACAAAGGCACGATGTTGCGGTAACCATTGATGATCCACAGTAACTATACACTACACTAAATGGCATCAAATAGAGTTTAATTTGCCGCATCAATGAACTCTCCAGCCTTTATAACAGCTGAGTAATAACATTTTTAAATTGTCCCTGTTTTTTGGACCACCCTTTATTATAGTACACAGTATCTTAAAAACAGGAATCAATTTTATTAAATTTAGTATCGTTAGAACTGTGACGACATTGTCTAAAATAAACCATTTCCACAATAGTTTTTTAACCGATCTAGTTTTTAGGCTATTTAGGTTTAAGAACACCTAAACCTCCTTAAAACTGAACTTAAAAACTTGAAATTAAGAACTTTAAATGTTGAAATTAAGCATTCAACAAATAGTTTTGATATATGTACTAAATTTTAAACCACTAAAAAAATCCTTTCTAAAATAGTTTTGTAAGACAACAAAATAGTGGATGTAAAGTAAACTTTTGACCTATGGATTTTTAACGTGATATTTTATTTGTTTATAGTTGTCCAGGAATTATATCTTAAAAGGTCGTTAGAGAGTTTTGGGACAGCATGTGTATTGGGATAGTCTAAACATGTATTTGATACATTATAATTGGAATATTTCCGTAATAGTTGTGTAATAGTGTACAGGCATCTCTGATCTATCATTGTTTTACCAACAATCTAGATAGTCTGGTTGCTTGGAACACATCAGTATCTTTGTTACAGTCGGATCATTGTTGGCTTTGGACAGAGACACTATTGTTGTCCCGCTTGTGGTACATTGCACTAGAACCTTTAATGGATTAGAAAGATATTTCTGGACCGCATATCACTGTCTCTTTGAATGTATTCAATCTTGTAGGCCAACTGTACTCAGCTTGATTTGCTTGAAACGTTCTCGCCTATGTGGATGGAAAAATTCTCTGATTCAATTATATCAATTATTTAAGATGGGGACGCAACTATTCCTCTTTGTGCTAAAGACAAGTTAACTTGTCAAGTTTTTGGTTGAACGGTTTCTAGTTCGAGGTGGAATTTGAAGTTCTAAATTATAAGTTGTGCTTCAGTAGCCATACAAACCAGAGATGCTATGAAACTTTAGTCTTTGAACTATACATCAAAGGTCGAAATGCCTCAACGACGAAAGCCTGTTATATGAGCTGAGAGACAGGTTGGTTACAACTGTTGCTTATTAGGCGAAGTTCAATCTTAATATATCTAAATCTGACACATAAAATTTATGAATTAAATTATAGTAGCCTGTAAATATATTTCTCGATCGGATTTTTATATTTTAATAAAACTGCTATTTATTATACACGTTGAATTTCAGTTTCCAAATAAACAAATTTGTCTAGTTTTGAAAGTTAGCGTAATTTAAGGACAACTTAAGTAGATGTTTCAAAACTCGCATATAATAAGGATTTTTATTGATTTACCCCTAACGAACAATTTACTCATAAACTGGCTCTACGAAATATTTTTGGTCGAGGTAGCTATGGATAACGTATGTTCACGTTGGCATGGGTTTATTCATAAATGTCGAATGTTGATGTTCTTATCAAAATATTAAAGTTAAACAAGGTTTTTGGAAACAACTATTATAAAAATAATATCAGAGTTGGAAAATTTACTACAAAGATAATGAATAGGTTAGGCTTAATAGAATTGAAAAAATAAACGTGTATTTATTTGTGTTGCATTTTACTAGATCAATAAAATAAATATCACGGGGTGAATGTTTTGTAGAGAATGAAATTAAATGGAGATTATAAGATGAGAAAAAAATGAACACACTTTTGGGATAGGAGAACAAGCACAGTTTTTATTTACTTTTTGATACACAACATGTGTTAGCAATAGAGAATAATTTAATTTGATTAAGAACACATGCCAGCTGCAAGGAAAAGAGATGTACATTAAATAAAACATAGAGTGTTAAATAATATGAATTAATGGTTAAAGTTTACTGAACATACCGGGGGCCTTGAATCCCCAGTGGATTCAACAAAAACAGTTCACGAATCCACAGTTGGCAGGGGAAACACTTTGTGGGCAGATCTTCTGAGGTTACCACTTGATGTTTTTTTTTTTTTTTTTTGGCAGAATAATGGGATGTCGAGCATCTTCAGGAAGTGATGTCTGAGAAAGACGTCCTCCAACAAGCAATAATCCAAATGAGTCAATGAAAGGTGAAAGACGTTGTAAACGAGTGGAGCAAAATGATTTCCGTTTGAGGCAGTTGATTTCTTCTGTGAATACTTCTTTTTGTACAAGTTTAAAAATGTGATATTTTGTGTCTTTCAGTTCCTGTGTTGAGATGAAACCTTGGCGTTTTTCAGAACCTTTACAGTTGTGTATGAAACGAAGGACGTAAGCAAAAATCCTAAGAAGTCGTTCCCATGAAGAATATTTAATGAGAAGATTGGTCAGCGTAGATTCAGTGGTAGTTGACACAAGTACAGTTAGAGGAGTGTGTTTTACTTCATCTAATGTTGAGATATCTGTAGGTGAAAAAGTTACATCAGGCCAGTTTGAAGGGGGAAGAGAAAGCCAAGAAGGCCCTGACCACCAAAGGGGGTGAGACACAAGCTCAGTGGCTAGAATACCTCTTGAAGCACAATCAGCAGGGTTTTCCTTGCTAGGGATGTAACGCCAACAGTGATAGGGGACAAGTTCTTGTGTTTGGGCGACTCTGTTAGCCACGAATGTTTTCAGCCTGTAAGATGGAGTTTGAAGCCATGTCAAGGTTACTGAAGAATCACACCACAAATAACATTGGTTGAGTGAAATTAAGGGTTTGAATGAAGAACAACAGAAGTTTACGAGTTGAGCTAATAAGTGGGCAGCGCAGAGTTCTAATCGTGGAAGAGTCACCTTCTTGAGAGGGGCGACTCTAGTTTTAGATAAAACCATACGTGTAGTCACTTCTCCGTTGGGTTGGGAACATCGTACATAGACAACAGCTGAAAACCCACGTTCAGAGGCGTCTGAGAAGCCGTGAAGTTCAACACTAGAATTTGGAGAGATTTTCAATGCTCTAGGGATCTGAATGTCTGCAAGTGCTGGTATCGCTGAGATAAAGTTACTCCAAATTGCACTAAGTTCTGGAGTGAGAGGTTCATCCCATTGTAGACCGGTCGTCCAGAGAAGTTGAATAAAACATTTCGCTGTCATAGTACATGGGCTAAGAAATCCACAAGGATCGTATATTTTAGCGACTAGACTGAGAACGTGACGTTTAGTTAGTGTTTTTGGCGGTAGGTTGAGATGAAATGAAAAATTGTCCGAGTCTGGAGACCAGTGTAGGCCAAGAATTGAGAAATGGGGATCAGGTGTATTTTCAAGAAAGACTGGAGAGTCTTTATGAGTGTCTGGAAGAGACTGAAGAAGCTCGGGAGAATTTGAAGTCCATTTTCGAAGTTCAAAGTGTCCACGGTTGAGTAGTTGAATGAGTTGATTTTGAAGGTTCTTTGCTTCATCTACCGTGTCTGCTCCAGTTACAATGTCGTCTACGTAAGTCTGAGTGCGCAAGACATTTGCTGCTTCAGGGAAGTCTTTACCTTCGTCTTCAGCTAACTGGTGGAGGGTACGAATCGCTAAGTAGGGTGAGCTATTTACTCCAAAAGTCACTCGAGTGAGTTTGTATGTGGATATATCTTCAGAGGGATTGTCACGCCACAAGACGAGTTGGAACAGTTGATCGGAAGGTTTGATTAAGATTTGAAGATACATTTGGCGAATATCGCAAGTGAAAACGATATTGTGTATTCTGAAATGTAGCAATATATCACAAATGTTGGTCTGTAATTTAGGGCCGGTCATGAGAGAATCATTGAGGGAAATTCCAGAGCTGGTTTTGCAGCTTGCATCATAAACGATTCGGAGTTTAGTTGAGGTACTGGATGGTTTCACAACTGCATGGTGTGGCAAGAAATAGTGAGGAGAGTTGATATCTAGATGAGGTAGTTTTACCATATGACCTTGAGAGATGTGTTCATTTATATTGTCAGAGTAAGATTTATACAAATCAGGAGAGAGTGTAAAACGTCGTTCAAGTGAGTGAAAACGTCGTTCTGCGATGAGTTTGGAAGATCCTAAAGGTGGATGATTTTCTTTAAATGGTAGCTGAACTAAGTAACGGCCATTTTCGTCCCTAGAGTGGGTAGCTTTAAACAGATCTTCACACTGTTGCTCTTCAACCGATATCTTTGAGGGTACAGATAATTCCTCTAATTTCCAAAATTTCTGTAGAGAGTTATGCAATTCGTTGTCAACCGTTGAGAGCAGAGAGATGGATGGAGTGTTGGCAGGCTGGGAATCGGTTGAACAAGGTGCATTCCCCATAACAACAAAGCCAAAGTGAGTTCCCATCATGTTAGGCATGTTAGGGCCGAGAGAATAGTTTTCATTCGTTAAAAGAAGAGGGAAGAGAGAAGCTCCGATCAGCATGTCAATGGGCCCTGATAAGTGGAAGCTGGGATCAGCAAGGGGGTAAGGTTTTACTTTCAATAGAACTCTTTGTGATATTTGAGATCTAGGGAGATTGACAGATATTTTATCAAGTATGTGCACTTGGTTGGATGCAACTAATTTTCCTGCCAGTGTGTTAACAGTGAGGTTCACAATACCCTTTGTGAGAGTTGGAGATTGAGAAAGACCAACTACTTGTAAGTTGGATTTGAAACGAGGTGCATTCAGTAGTTGAGCAGCTTTTTCACTAATAAAATCACACATGCTGCCACTATCAATCAATGCTCTGAACACATGAGAAACGTTATTTTGAGCAGTAACTTTAACCAGTGTTGTGCCTAAAATTACAGTTTTAGGGATTTGATTAGCAGGACTGGCTTCCTGTGAGCAAAGAGATACGGTAGGTTTTTCATTCGAAACATAAGTGGTTGATGGTTGTGATGATGTAGAACCTTGAGATGTCTTGTCATGTTCAAAATGAAGTAAGGTGTGATGACGTTTGTGGCATTTGAAGCAAGATGCTTTAGACTTACATGTTTTAACATCATGTTTTCCGAGGCAAGAGACACATCTGTTGTTGTCCTTTACGGTTTTAAAACGTTCATTTGAAGAAAGAGAGAGAAAGCTAGGACAAGCATAAACCTTGTGGCCAGTTGATGAGCAGACAAAGCAGGGAAATGAGAAAGGATTTTTTGAGTTGTCTTGATTTGATGGAGTTGGAGTAGAGACCATTGTAACTTTCTGAGCTTGAATGAAAGAGGGCTTGGATGTGAAAGATTTGGGTTTAAAATTTGAATTGTGGTTGTTCGTACTTTGAGCAAACTTGGTATGTAACACAGCGTCTTCCATTTGGTTACACTCTTGATTAAGAAACTTGACTATTTCGACTACTTCTGGTAGAGAATGTGTTTCGCATTTTATATTAATTCTAAAAGCCTCTAGTTGTTTTAGAAGGTCATTGTCTAGTTTTCGTAAGAGTATGGTGGACAACAGAGGGTTAGAGTTAGAAGTAATGTCACAGTCAAGAGCTTTAAGTGCTTCTGTGTGTTCATAAAACAAGTTGAGGAACGTTCTGAGACATTTGTTTGAGGTAGAGGAAATGTCCGGTAGGTCGATCAGTTTGTTGAGGTGAAGTGTAGTTAACCTTCGGGTGTTGTGGTATCTGTCTCTGAGGAGCTGATAGGCAATTGAGTAATTGGCTGAAGTGATACTGAAAGCTTTTACGAGATTTAGTGGTTCATTTTTGAGCACGCTGAGAAGATATTGAAATTTAGTGACGTTTGAAATGCTTTCATTCAGATGGATGCTAGTGTCAAATAAGTTGATGAAACTTACCCACTGTAGAGGAGAACCATCAAACGTGATGAGGTCTAGTTTTGGGAGTCTTACGTGAGCAGATGATGAAGCTGAGATGTCACTAATTCTTGTTGAATCTTTACTTTCTTCTGGAACATCTTGCGGCTGCTGTTGGAGAAGGGCTTCAATTCGAGACTTGGCTTCGACGAATAGCAGTCGCAGTTTGTCTTCAGTGTCACTTACTGCATCCAAATCTAATTCTTCTGATATATGTTCCAAGGCTCTTTCCAGGTAATTTTCATAGGCTTCATGTTTCTTTTCTAACTGGTTCGAGAAGTTGTTTAAAGTTCTGATTTGTATCACTGACAAGATTGAGGGGGAAAGTGTTTCAAGCTCTTGTACAGATTTGAGAATCTTTTCAAAAGAATTTTGTATGAGAAGGGTTGATTTGTTGAAGTTTGAGAGTGAAATTGATCTGGTAGCCATATTGGACAAAACAGATGGAGTGAAACTTTACTAAGAATTAGATAGAGTTTGTGACACTATGAGAGTGGGGAGAAACATAAAGAGATTGAATGATAAAATAAAGATATTTCGATAGCTTGAAAGTGTTCTGAAAATTGAATCCAAAGACTGAAATTCAAAATCCAGGCTCGATTAGGACCAATGATTGTTTTGTAGAGAATGAAATTAAATGGAGATTATAAGATGAGAAAAAAATGAACACACTTTTGGGATAGGAGAACAAGCACAGTTTTTATTTACTTTTTGATACACAACATGTGTTAGCAATAGAGAATAATTTAATTTGATTAAGAACACATGCCAGCTGCAAGGAAAAGAGATGTACATTAAATAAAACATAGAGTGTTAAATAATATGAATTAATGGTTAAAGTTTACTGAACACGGGGAACTCAAAGCAATAAAATAAAAATCCTTAAGCTTGGCCCATAATTAATCATTAGTGCCTATGAGCGACAAATTCAGTTTGTTAATAGGCTTTATGGTGCGAAACTGAGATCAGCAAGAGAATTTCTCTGACGGTTAGGACTTGGAAAGTGTACACGTCTAGAGCTATTAAGCTTTTCAGGACAGGTATCTTTATCAGGAGCAAAACATTGTGTTATTAACCATGATAATCAGGATATCTGGTCTCTTTTTAAGTGATTTTTAGTCAAGAATCAAGAATTGTTATTCATTGTAAAGCGCTATGTACATTACAAGCAATGGATGAACGTCATTAAACTAACTGTAGCCTAAAGGTTTCCAGGCAACACAAGAGCAAACATAAAACAAGTGCAGTGTAATACATGCAAATTATCACAGTCATCTTAAAAATAAAATACTGTAGGTTGGACAAAAATGCAAAGACTTGAGCGAACATGTAAACAGGTGCACTGTGTATACAATACATGCAGTGTGTTTTATAATATTTAACTCTATGTACACCATTACTGCCACAAAGATGGTTAATTAAAAGATATATCGAACGGACGGAGATGCCGTCTGTTTGTAACATAATCTTATATGATGTTCACTTTGTTCAATTTAAGACTTAGGCTTGTCTCTCTCACTAACAATATGATTTTTACCAATTTGGTTTTTCAAGCAAATTTATATATGTACCTTATTTAAAAAAAAAAATAAAAAGAATACCCAGTTAGAATGAAAATAATACAGTGGAGTTGGGATTTTTATCTTTGCATGGTTACATTATCGAAAGTACCTGGGGACCGAGCCATGGCTCTATGTAGTTCATTTCGATCGTAAAAGCAATATAAAGAAAAGTTTAGTGTAATTTCAATTTATTATGATGGAAATTTTAACCTGACAATCCTCAAGACATTCATTTATTTTACAGTCGATTTTATTATTATTTTGTTAAGGTCACTCGTTTATAATAACCTATACTTGCATAAATATTGTTTTGACATTTTGTTTAAAACAGCTGATTACTTTGGGATTACGTTTTGGTAGGAGAGAGCCAAGTTAAATAATCAGTATTTGATCGGAACTTGGAACTATTTTCACATATATCTAGTTATCTTCAGTGTAATCTTTGTTCTATAAAAACAACTTATGTGTTTCCTTTTGTACTGTATTTTGTAATGTACTAGTGTACAGTGGGTGAATGGTTTATTATGAACACATGTTACAGCTTACAAGTTTTTTGTTTACATTTTCCTTGCTATTTTGTTCAACCAACATGATTACTTAGCAACCCATAAGGCCAATGTTAAAAAGTTGTGAAATTCAATTTAATTTTTTACGTTATTTGATTTTTGTTGGCAGTTATAACTGCATTAAACACGTTTTTAGGTCAGAAATTAATTATTTACAACATTTGAAGCCGTTTTCGAGATCTTTGTGCAAGCAACCATACAAGCATAAATACATACAAGCAAACATTGCTCATATAAGAGTATAAATAAATAAAATATAAATCATTGATCATTTCCTATGTTTTAACAACAAATTAGTGATAAAATTACCTTTTATTTTTTTATGTTGCATATTTTTACTGCCCCCAAAACATAGTAATAAATGAAAAGTTCAAACTTTTTAACACAAGCTGTTCAAAAAAGTAATATCCGATTATAAACGCTGCTTTCTTTTAGAAGAATCTCTTAGACACTATTCTCTAAAAAAGATTGTACAAACTGTTGCAATGGCCCGATTGGGTTCGCTAAGCACTAAGCTGAAAGTGGTCGAGCGGCTTTTAGTTTAACGAAACCGTCCTTATACAGCCGGACCAAGGGAAACTAAGCATTGAGTGCCTTTGAAAGCTGATACTCATTCACAAATTGCCATTAGTCCAAGGCTGAATGCATTCAGTAACTTGTTTGCCAAACCACTGAAATCCCGTTTTGTTGTCTTAGCCACAGCCAAATAAACAATATGCAATTTATTACTGTTTCTATGTGAAATGTTTTTTTTTCATGAAAATTCTATTTGCTTGAGGGTAGAGTAGTTCATTGTACGTTGATCAACGTTGATCATTCTACGTGCTTTTAGAGTTTACTCCTAGTGATATTTACTCATAGCTAACAAACTAATGATTGATTGATCGATTGATGATTACGTATAGCGATACAAATTATCTTCCAAACTAAGATGTTAGTAAGTCTCTATCGGTGAAATTTCTAAATGTGACTTAGTGATAAATATACAAGAATACTGAGATTCGCGTGTATTATTACAGTCAACGGTTGGGAAGGAGTAATATCGATTCTAATTTTTATTCATCAAACCATGTTACACTGTGCTAAGCTACCTTGAGCTTGATTGGCTTACTATAACGTTTTCTTCAAAGGTAAGTAAATTGTATTCTCTTTCTAAAAAAATTTAAATTATCAGTCGACACACTGGATATTACTTATATGATTCTCCCAACTAAAACTGAATTGTACACTTTCCTTGGCTGAAATTAGACAACGACCCCATTCCTTCCATTTCTTAAATAAACCTAAAGATAGCTTTGTAAGAACTGTCTGAAACTAATATAAAAGGAAACAGGCTACGTTTAATAAAAGAGGTGGTGAAGAATGTGAAAAGCCTCAGACGAATACTTAATAGCCTACATTCTGCTGACATTATGGAAGTACGTGCATTATTGTCGACTAAGTGTTTCTCGTATTTTACCTAGGGTCATTTTTAAAGAAGCAGTTTCAGTTCAGTTCTTAGAATTGAAAAGTTTCTCATAACAGCATATTTTACTTACATAACACCATAGTTTTACTTACACACTTAACACGGGCAACCAACGAGGGGACCAATGAGGTTCAAGGATTGAAATAGAAGAAGTAAAATTGTAATGCTTCGGACTTCAGCTAATCAGCTGTTAACCAATTTAATTGTAAACGATTGGTGCAATTAGTGATTGGTACAATGAGTCGTTGCATCAATGTCAGTGGCAATGAGAGATTATAAACGAAAACATATTCTGTCTTATAAGTTTTCAGTAGTGATTATAAGTAATTAAAAATCTGTCGTAGGTAAAGGAGATAAAGTAGTGTATGCAACTCGCGTAAATTGTGTTAACGACACTCATAGAAGGAGGCTCGTGCCTTAAATTTTCTACTCGTGATGATAACAGTATCTTTACGCGATCGTTGCGTAAACTACGACCGTTTTTTAAAATAGCCTTCTCAATTAAGTTATTAGAAATAAAAAGATTTACTGATGATTGGGGCAAAAGAAGTAAAATTGTAATACTTCAAACTTCAACTTATCAGCTGTTAAGACCAATCTATATATTTAATACACAGTTGTAACACTGTTTTCTCAGTAATTACTGGACCGTTCTACAAGATTTATGTCTCAAATTAAAGGGGATAGTATGTAGATTTGCCGAACTTCCTTAGAATTTACGTTTTTTTCTAAGGGCTACGAGCTACAGCCCTTTAAAGGTCGAGTCAATACAATTCTTATTGAAGAATAAAATACACAGTTCATAAATTATTCGTCAGCTGTGTCGAATAATTTACTAGGGAACGGAAACTTATTGTTTTGATCAATATAATTTATTCTCTACGGCCACCAGAATAATCATTTGGAAATCCGCTTGCAAGTTGTACATATAATTGCTAATGAGTGGGAAACATACAAACATTTTAAAGTAGGTGACGAATCTTACTCAAGATCAGTGTTAGACGTTCAGTGGTACCAAACTTTACCTTCTCGAGATGGCGAGTACGCTGGGATACGTGGAACTACAATATATCAGTACATTTTTTTTCAAGTACACAGGGAAGTTGCTTGAGAAACTGTGACTTTCCATTCGGTTCTGGCGAAGAAGTATGTGACTTGATGTTTAATGGCAATGTTGACTCGGGTCATTATAGCGTTATAAAACTTTATCATTAACCCCAGGGTGTGAAAAGTACAAAAAGAAAAAGAAGAGGTAATCATTAACCGGTCGTAAAGAGACGAACGAAAAAAATTTAGAGAACCATCGAATTAAAAAGGTAAAGAGCAGTGATGGTGTTAAATGTGCTCTGGAAGTCCCTTCTAAAAAATATCATTTTTTTTAATTGGGGTCGTTAGATTGGATTTGTCAGTACTGCAAATCTATGAATTTTGAGTCAGAACATACTAACTGGGGCACAAATATTTTTTCCTTATGTTGTCACAAGGGGAAGGTAAAATGAACTCCTTATCAACATTTTGAGTTTATGGGAAATCTTATCAACACAGCGACTATAAAAAAGTATTAAGGGTCAAAAGAGACAAAAAACTATTTGAGTAAAATATAATACAAACCTGCATTTGCAATGGCCAGTTCTAAGTCTCACTTGAATCAACATCTTTCTGGTAGTGGTAGTCTACATAGTTTTAAAATCCACGACTCCTTTTCCATCAAATTGGACCGTTAATAGCCTCTAACATTGAACAAAGTATGCCCAACTTTATATATACGACGTAAACACAGTTTTTACTCACAGTATGGGTCAAAGATTCGTGAAATGCGACCAACTGCTGATG